AGAGAGAGAGAGAGAGAGAGAGAATTGATGGTACACTTACAACAAGGGAAGCAGCTAAATGAAATGGGAACGGAATCGGAACGTCTTTCTTGAATTATGCCCCCTCCCCTACTTTTTACAAGAAATGCTGAGTGACTCACGAATGTGCCTCGATCGATCGATCAAGCTGTTTTTCAGACGGAGGTCAAATTCAAACTGACGCGAACAGACCGTCCACATTTAACAGATAATATGCTTCTTTTCATGCAATTGCGCTAAAGAGCAGACAAGTCTTCAGGTTATGAAAAAGAAAAGAAAAAGCCAGAATCTAAAAAAAAAAAAATTAAAAAAATTTGAAAGTCTTTATCGATGTGTTCAAAAACATTGATACGTAACTCCGGCTGTTCTCGGCGCCTGTTCACTGTATATTTTCTTAACAGGAAATGTTTGACACAATCTAGATTATGTTGAAAGCGGGTTTCGTCTCTGTCTGTCAGGAACAATTCGGGCTGAGGGTGAAACAATAAATATCCTTGTAACAAGGCCGAGATATAATATGGTTAAAACTCTACCTACAGGAGAATCGAACTCGTGTCTTCTCCGTGTGACGACCAAAGGCTAAACCGCTACACCACATCAGACACTGGTAGAACCCATTAAGTAATATAACACATTAATTATTTTCTCCAGAGAAATATACATTGTAATTTCCAGTTCAAATACTTACTTTGCCCCAGGGGGAGGCAGCCTGTACTGTACACCAATCTCGCTCAAGCGGGGCAACTCTCTTTCGCCTAAAGATCGGGCAAAATCTGCCCAGTCCACGTCACGAGCTGTGTCTCTGGCTGTGCTGGGTGGCATGGATTCCCAGGATGCTTTGTGCCAAGCCCTTTCCGCCACAGCTGTCACAAGGTTTACATTAATGAACAAATAAATAAACAAATAAACAAATAAATAAATACATAAGGAACAAACAAAAAACAAAAAACAAACCAAAAAAACCCCAAAAGGACTGGGATTAAGACCAACACGTTTCTATCAAAAGTGAATACATCTGTGTCGGTTTTAATTGAACGAAGACGAAATAAAACGTCAGCCTAATATCGTACAAAACATTGCATAATAATTATGATTTTGGTTTAGCGCTCCTTTCAACACATTCAGGTTATCCCAGAGGCGAAACTTAAGATTTTATGGTAATCTCCAATGGGAAAGAGCTAAGCAATTGGAAAGCATAAATGAAGACTCATGAAACAATCTAAATTCAAGCACGTCCTGCAAACGATTAAAACTTTGATCTCCTACACCGTAGTCCCACATGATACGAATGGAGATAAAAATGTGTCCATTATGTAGTGTTATTACTGTATTTAATTAGATGTAAGCTGTTTCTTGGTCACCCTGTACGTCATTCTTTCTGACGTATTCAGGATACCCACCAACAGGTAAGTTAGCATGTTTCGTGTATTCACTGAAACTACTGAAACCATGTTATCTCAGTTTATTGTCTAGCCCAGTGCTTATACCAAAATGTTCAAAATGTGGTAAATTTTTCCCTGTCCGATTTGGTCCCCTCGGCCATAGCATAAATCATAAATCATCTTCACCCTTTTCCCTACAAAATCTCATCTGCACAGGCATTTTTCATGGTCAGAAATTCACCGACGGACTATTCTTCTTCTTTTTCTTCTCTCTTCTTTTTCTTTTTCTCTTCTTGTTCTTGTTGTTCTTGTGCTTGTTCTTTTTGCTCTTATTCTTCTTGTTCTGGTTCTTCTTCTTCTTCTTCTTCTTCTTCTTCTTCT